GCGTCTCAGTTGACAGGCGCTGGTAGAACTCCACGGTGTCCGAGTGTGGGGGCGGCATCTGGTGGTGGTAGGGGGGCGTCGGGCAGGGGTTCCGGGGCAGGTACTGCCTGTGGGCAGCAGGAGGGTCAGCGCCAGGGCCCAGCCTAGTCTCTCAGACATGGGACCGCCCTACTGCACCCATGGCCCTCACCGGATGCGCTCAGAGTCCGAGGGGTGCGGCATGTGGTGCCAGGCGGCCTCCTCCATGGCCTGCTGGTAGAGCTGCTCCTTGGTGAGGGGCACAGGCCCCAGAGGACACACGCCCAGTGAGAGTGGGATGTTCACCTCCGACAGCTGCAGGGGCGGCTGGGCTGAGGCTGGAGGTGCCGACGTGCTGCTCAGGATGATGTCTGCAGGGAGGACCGGGCCAGGTCCTGGTGAGCACAGGACAGGCCGGCCAGCCCCACCTGCCACTCCCCAGCCCTGACCCTCACCTCGCTCCGTCAGGTGCAGCGCTGGCACAGGGTCCTCGATGCCAGAGCTGATGGCGGCCCGCTCTGCCATGGACTTCAAGGAGCTCAGGGGCTCAGGGGCCTGGGGAGGGGAGGCAGAGTGTGGCCTAAGTAGGGCACAGGCCTGGTGAGCAGCAAGCAGCCTGGCACAGGATCCAGTGCCTGTTCCTGGGGGTCTGCATAGGCTACCCCGTGGGTGGGATGACACCTCGGGCAGGCACGGGACTGCCTCACTGGTGCGGGCCCGCACTGTGGGCACCATGCAGGGCGTCCATGACACACCCGGAGGTGGCATCAGCCTGCAGGACCCACCACAACACACGGGACTAACACCCACACGGCTCACATAGGCTGCACGGCTCTGGGGTGAGGGCCTGGTCTGCGTGCTCACACCCCTCCCCTGGGTGGTTAGAGCTGCTTTCTGCACCTTCCTGTGCCCTGCGGTCGGGGCTGGCTGCCCATCCACTGCAGCCCGTCCCACCCCACAAGCCTTCAGTGGGCAAGGGCCATTGTCCTCGCACAGGGGGACACCTGCACAGCCCAGGCCAGCCCTCCTGCCCAGACCCTCCATCTATCTCCTTAAAGACGTGCAGGGACCTTTCCCTTCTCTACCCAAAACCTGAGTCCGTCACCCACCCCACCCAAGACCTGGCTGAGGCCCATCACTCGTCACTTCTTTTTCAGTCGTGGACCTGTTAGAAATGTCAAAGCTGCTCTTTCCTTTTTCCCCGGAAAATGCACACCCCACGAGTCTCTCGTCCATAGTACCTGAGATCTGAAAGTTTCCTCTGGGCCAGAAACCGTCCCCAAGAACTTTCTGAGGGTTACGCAGTCTCCTAAACACCCTACCCGAGTATGTGTACCGTGCTCACCCCACTTCCCAGGTGAAGGGAGGAAGGCAGTCGGGACAGTGCCAGGACCCGGCCTTGGACTCCGGCATGCAATAGCCTCCGTGGAAGCCCCGTGAAGACGCTGGCCTAGCAAGTCGTTCCTGGAGCCAGGCCCGTGCTGCCCCACCCACTAACCCTGCACCATGGCCCAGCAGCTAGCGGCACTCCCCTTGCAGAGGGGACAGCCCTCTGGTCTCTGAGAGGCAGGCACCAGGCTGCAGCAGGCTCACCAGTGCGGTCTGGACAGAAGGCTTCTCGGGAAGGCAGAGGGTGAGCTAGAGAAGGGTCATGTGGGGCGAAAGCACCTGTGTGTCTCGTGAGTAAAAGGACAGAGACCAAGGGCCAGAGGGAGAACACCAGTGGGCAAGCACAGCCAGGAGAAAAGGAGACCACCAGAGGGACAGACGATCCCAGAGAGAGGGAGGGAGCATGAGCCCCCGAGACGGGGAGGGCCGCGTGGTGGCAGGGAAGTCCCGGGGAGAAGAGGGAGTGCGGGAATCCTTTAGGAGGGGACAGGAGACACCTGGAGCAGACAGCAGGGCCAGGATGGGCTGCACCCCACAGGGCCCACCTTGATCTCTGGGGCAGCGCTGAACTGCGGAGGCCCATTGAGCAGGGTGCTGGCTGCCTTGGCCTCACTGAAGCTGGGAGTCGGGGAGCTGGGGGGGTTCACAGGCAGTGGCACCAGGAGGCTGGGTCCCGAGTTGTTCCCTGAGCCTGGGGCCACGCCCCCGGCCCCTGCTGGGGCTGCTGCGCTGGGTTCCTTCCTGGGGAGAGAGGATGGGGAATGGGCACTCAGGAAGGCTTGGTGAGGGGGACCCACAGAAGGTGAGGTCAGAGGCGCAGGCTAAGAGCAGACTGGAAGCAGCTCCTGAGCCCAGGCTAGAGTCGTCTTCAGAGCCCCTTCGCATCAGTGGAGCTACAGAGGTGGGAAGGGTTCGCAGACGCCCAATGGAAGGCCATGTGGCTAACAAAGGATTAAGGGACAGGGACAGGCACAGCCCACATGGGGTGGGGCGAGGGCTCCGGCTGCAGCAGACACACGCCACCTGAGCGCGGAGACCAGGGACCGGGCAGAGTGCGGGGTAGCCCCGCAGGAGTCTGCTTCAGCCTGTACAGAAGGCCGAGGCCACAGGGCACTCTTCCCAGAGTGCGTGGGCCCTGGGCACTGTTTGAGCTGAGATTTAGAGGAAGGGCAACTGGGGGATGTTTCACTTTGGAAGCAGACATTGGCCGCTCTGATGGGAGCCCGGTGGCCTTGGGCAGGTAACAGAGGGGGGAGGGAAGTGTGGGACTCCTGAGAAAGCTCCCCACAGAGAAGGACATACTTCAGAACCCTCATAAGGGCAAAGCCGGAGACCGGTGTGCAGTGTCCACACCATGTGGGAGGAGGGCAGGCCGCTGGGCCTCCCTACCAATAAGGGCAGACCTGGTACCCGTGTACAGGGAGGCATCCTGCGTCTTTGTGACAAAAGGTTGCACCTCCAACCCTGCCGGCGGCTGAGACACTCACGAGGTGCTGGGAGGTGGGTTGTGGGGGCCGGATGGGGCACCCAGAGCCTGGCTGTTGGCGCTGTTGGCCCCACTGCTGCTCAGAGCCACCTCCGCTGGGCTGTCAGCCACGACTGCACTGTAACCTGGGGGATGAGAGCCAATGGCGAGGGGTCCGCCGGCTGGTGGGCGGGGGGTCCGCCGGCTGCTGCCTCGCCCAGTGTGGCCCCCACCAGCCCCTCACTCACTGGTGGCTCCGTTCTGCTTGTTAGCGCCGCCCCCTGCACTGCTGCTGCTGTTGCTGCCGCCGCTGCCACCTCCACTGCCTCCCCCGCTAGGCTGGGCGCTGGGGGGCCGGGGCTGGGCACTGTTGGGTCCGCTGGGTGCTGGTGGGGCCACAGCCTGGGCGTAGGGGGCAGGGGTGCCCGAGTTGTGGCTGGGAGCTGGACTGGCCTTGGGGCCCAGGGCACTTGGAGCTGCAGTAGGGGCGGGGGCCCCATTGTTGCCAGGGGTGGTGCTCAAGGCAGAGGCAGCGGGCGGGGGGCCAGGAGGGTAGGCAGGTGGCACAGCTGGGGACTGAGGGTGCTGGGTGCTGTGTGCAGGCTTGGAGCCGTTCTTGGCAGGAGACTGCAGGTGAGAGAGAGCAGAGGTCAGCCCCAGCCAGTCAGCCTCCCACCCTGTCCTCCACCTGGCCTCAGATCCATGTGCCACCAGCCTCCCCTCTAGTCTCACTGTCCCCAGCTGCTCCTAGCCCCTGGTGATCTTCATGGCTTCGGTCACCCTCCTGCTTAAAACACATTAATTTCCAGTGCCTCCCAGCTTCCTGAGCTGCCTGGACACCCACCCCAGATGCCCACAAGGGGATCTGACTTGCAACTCAGGCCGTCAGTCAGAGAAGACGGTGGATGACAGGACCAGTGAGATACCGCTACCCTCAAGAGAGATCAGCACTTCTGAAACTCGTGTGTGGGGTCAGAGGCTAGGATGGGACCCTAACTGTTGACACTGCTGTGCCACAGCAGGCTGACCCCTGGCCACCCTGACTCCTAGGACGCCTCCTGCTCACCATATGCTACCCATTGGGATCACTGCCTGGCAGCAGGGCTAGACAGGTACAGGGCAGTGGCACTGGAGCCCCCCCGCTTGGCCTATGCTGGCTCTGCCTACCCTAACTGCTGACATCACTCCAGGTGGACCCAGGCCTGCCCCTCCACTGGCAGGGCCTACGCTCCGACTTCTGACCCCTCTCTTCTCAGGCTAGTTTGGCTCCTCAAAGCTGGTTCAAATCCTAGCCCTTCTGCCCACAGCCCAGGCCTGTGTCTGGAGCCTGGGTAGTCTCTCCTCTCGACTGGCCTAGGTGTTCTGCAACACCTGCTTGTGCTACCTGCTGCCTCCTCTCCCTGCGGGGCCAGCTCCAGTCCTCCTGAGGCCTGGGCGACATGCCGTTCTGACCACCCAGCCAGGCCAGGCAGGTGCCCTGCCCCCTTGACCACAGGGCCCCCGGTGTCCTTGCACCTGGCACTGTGGCCAATTCACAGGCCACTGGGAACTACTAAGTGAGCGACATGCCAGTGGCCCCGGCTTAGACCCACCTGGCTGACTTCGCTGTCCGTTGAGCGTCCCCTCTTCTTATCATCTTCAGAGTTTTCCTGAGGTGGGGAGACAGGGCCAGAAACCCATGTGACTACCAGGCCCTGACATCTAGAGATGTCCATTTCTTTTTTTTTCCTTTTTTGGAGAGGTTTTTGCTATAGGGCGCGTGCGCTCGCCAGACAGACAGAGAGAGACAGAGAGATAGAAAGCGAGAAATCACCCCCCAGGGGGGATGGTCACGCCGCAATCCCTTCTCCTCCATTCTCCTCTCGGGATCTTGGGCACGCACGCACACATGCCCAGCGTGAGTTTAAGCCACCGGGTCCGGGACTCGAACCTCGGTCGACTACGTGGGAGTCCAGCAACATAGCCATTACACTAACTGCTGGTCCCTAGAGATGTCCATTTCTGAACCCCTGGGGACCCAGGCCCAGCTGCCTGGCCTTGCAAACACATGACCTTCATCAGCCTCCCTGGAGAAAGCCCCAAATCTGGGCTCCCCGCTGTCCTCATCTTCTGGGAGCCAATGCTCACCTGTCTGCCCCTCCAGGACCCAGGAACTTGCTCTCTTCAGGAAATATTATCCTCGGATTCCCACTGAGGCGGCCAGAAGCCCAGCCCCCTCGGGCACCCCATGTACTGGCCCCCAACCTCAACCGATGGGACTCAGCCTGCTTTGGGTGCTAGGTTCCTTGAAAGAGCTCTTTAAGTCCCTTAGCAGCCCCCTGCAGGGAGTCAGCTGCCCCAGGAGCCCAGCCCCTTGACCCCTAACCCCACTTCCCCGGCTGCGGTCTCCTCAGCTCCTGCCCGCGGTCCTCACCGTGGTGCAGTTGGCTGGGCTGGGTGGGATGGGAGAGCTGGAAGTGGTCGAGGTGGGTGTGCTGCTGGACTGGTTGAAGATCTCGTCCTCCATGTGGCTGTGGCTGGGGGGGGAGGTGGCGACCAGCGCCTGTGCTGTGGGGCACAAGGGAAGGCGGGCTCAGCAGGCCCCATGGCCCTCCCGGCCCTCACCCACGGCGCCGTGAACCTCAGCCCCGGGCCTCACGAATGTCCTCGAGGTCCAGGTCGTCGTAGAGGAACTCGTTCTCCTCGAAGTCCGGGTCCTGGGAGGAGTCGACGTAGTACTCGACGTCGTCCTTGATCTTGCGGATGGCGTCGACCAGGATGGAGTCGTTGTCCAGCATGCGCAGGATGGTCTCCAGCATGCGCACGTGGTAGCGGTGCTTCTCGATGTGCCGCTTCAAGCCCTCGATCCGGTCCTGCTTCTGCTGGCGAGCCCAGGGCCAGGCTCAGGGGCCGCACACGCCTGCCCAGCCCTCCTGCCCCACAGAACCTGTCCTCAGTCCCGCCCCGGCGACATCCAAGCCCCATGGCTCCCTCTCCACACCCTTTCTGGCTCTCAAAGTCTCTTGAAACCTCTAAAAGGCCCCTGTGCCACCCCACAACTCGGCTCTCATCTGTGCCTCGTGGGACAGCCCAAACCTGTCCAGTGGGCCCACCCCTGAGCACCTTCAGGAGTACAGATACAACCCTCCCTTGTCATGCCTGAGCTGCCACACCCCCCGGGGGAGCCCACGGTAACTGACCACAACAATCGGTGTCATCCCAGCTAACCCATCCACACCCCGGAGTAGCCCAGATTCTGAAGCCCAGCTCCTGCTCCCGAGGCCACACTTCCAAACCTCCCTCCCTTCAAGAACCCATCGTGTCTCCCCATAAGCCTGTTTCTCAAACCCAACTCTGGCACATCCCCTACCCAGCCCTACGTATCCACCCCCGGGCTTCCAGACCCACCCTTCTGCTCCCTGAGCCAACAAGCATTTAGTGTTCACACTCCTCTGAACTTCCAGCCCACGGCACTGGCTGCGTAGAACCTGGACCCAGCAGCTGGCTGTGTGCCTGACTGGGCATCTCTGGGCCAAATACATGGCCTTTATCCACGTGTGCCATCCTCGCTGAGAATCCGGGGCCCTCTGGGTGCTCTGAAGCCTCCCACCTGGGTGTCCAGGTTCACACTGCAGCCCAAGCTGTACCCAAGTTTACCTCCCCACCCAGACTAGCTCTTCCTCTCAAGGCCCTGCTGTCTTACCCAGACCCCTGGGAGACCCTGAGGTCCATCCCACCTCGTCCCAGCACCACCTGGTAAGCTCCTGCCTCTCGAGCCCCTACCCCAGCTGTGGTCTGCCAACTCCACAGTCCTACACCCGCCAGCACACCCCTGCTTCCGTGCACAGGCGCTAGGTCCCCTACTCACATCCTTGTCCCCCTTCTTCTTGCGTGTTTGCACCGATAGGGACTCCACCTCACTCTCAAACTGGTCCACCTGCATGTTTAGGGTGTCGATGGTGTTCTGGAGGGCAGGAGGGCCGTCAGTCAGAGCTCCCTCGCACACAGATTAAGAGTCCCCAGAATTCACCTCTTCTTCTCTACCCAACTCACCGTGAGCCACTGGCCAACCTCTTCCTTCTCCTTCTGGGCGGGGTCCACCTTTTGGGCCAGGCCCAGGCCCTCCTTGCTATACGCTTTGGTTTTGGTCTCTCGTTCCACAACTTTGAACCGTTCCATTTGCTGTGGAGAGTGCAGTTGGCAGGGGGCTCCCGACAAGTGAGAAGCTGACTACTAAGGGCTGGCAGACACTTAGACCCAAGCCTGCGAGCCAACCTCGCTAGCTCCCCTTCCTCCAGGCGTGGAGACCTCACACTCAGGGAGCTCTGGAGCCTTGCTGCTCCTCTGCCCACCCCAGGGCCCAGGAAGCTGGCTACCTTCCCACCTCTGGAGGTCTCGGGCTCTAGGCTCCTACCGTCTCGATGAGCTTGCGGTTGTCTATGAGCTGCCTCTTGTCCTTGATCTCGTTGGACGCCACCCATGTCTTGATCTGGTCCCTTAGCCGCTGTACGTGGGAAAACCAAAGCCTTAGGCTCAGGAACTGGAGGCCCCAGCTCCGTCCCCCCTGGGACCCAGAAGTCCACCCACCGGGTGCCCTGTGCCCTCAGGGCCAGGTGCCGGCCCAGGGCTCACACCTGTAGCTTCTTGATCTCCTTCTTGAGGTCAGCCTCATACTTCTCCTTCTGGTTTGCGTTGGCTGCATTGTGGAGCTGAAGAGGGAGAGTGCTGGGGAGTTGGTGTGGGGGTGGCTGCCCCAGAGCCTGCCTAGGTGAAGCCTGCCTTTCCCTTCAGGCTGGGGACTCTGACCTCCCCCCTCAGGGCTGCTTCTCCTGGGACTCAGCACCTGGACACGCAGCCCTACTCCCTGGTCAACATCCAGACTCTGAACCTCTTCCTTGCTCTCCTCCTGGAGACCCAGAGTTTTAGGGCCCCAGCCCCTGTACCTTCTGCCAAATATCTTCAAACTGCTCCACGCCCTCGGACACCTTCTTGAGGCAGCGATCAATCTCACCTGGCCCGGGCGGAAGGAGGCTGTTAGAAGCTGCCCAGGCAGCAGAGCTCCCAGAAGAGGAAGCCTGTGGCCACAAGTGCAGGGCGGTCGGTCCAGTACCTTGGAGTTTGCGCTTGTCCGCCATCTTCCCTGCCCTACAGACGCACTCTCTTCATGCTCTCTTGGAGATGGACGCTGCTGGGAGAGAGTGGGCGGGAATGAGCATCTATTCCCCGACTGGTCTGGACCCAGAGGCATGGACGTGGCCGGGAACGGGGGGGCAGACAGGGTGGTAAAGGGAGGAGCATTTACGTCTGATGACAGAGATCAGGCCCACTCCTCCTGGTGCTCCCTCGCTGGCCCAGCACGGGATCTGGCCCACAGGAGCACTCTGGAAGTTTGTGGAAACAAGGGAAGATGTACTTTTTGTGTTCCTCTGATCCAGAAAATGGCAAATCCCTACGGCACAGAGCCTGCCCTCCCCCAGTGTGACTCGAAAGGCTTCCAGAGCAGGTCAGAGTCATGCAGCACATAGCCGAGGACAAAGAGCAGCCCTGGGACGACGCTTTCTACGGGGTTGGGCACAGAAGCGACAAGGAGATGTCAGCCAATTGGGAAACAAACGGAACGGGCACCTCCCAGAGAACGGCCAACTCCGGGTGTACGCGCTATGGGTGATGGAGCAGAGACAGGCCCCCAGGGCAGTCTATGAAGCGCTGACCCCACTTGGACAGACAGGCCTGGGCAGCAAGGAGGAGCGTGCCTTAGACTCCCAAGAAATGTAATCCAGAGGAATCTTTTTTTCTTTTTTGGAGAGGTTTTTGCTATAGGGCACGTGCACTTGCCAGACAGAGACAGAGAGACAGAAAGCGAGAAATCACCCCCCAGGGACGATAGCCACACCGCAATCCCTTCTCCTCCATTCTCCTCTCGGGATCTTGGGCACGCACGCACACGCGCCCAGCGTTGAGGGAGAAGCCATCGAGTCCGGGTCGTGAACCACGGTCGACTACGTGGGAGTCCAGCGACATAGCCATTACGCTAACTGCTGGTCCCACAATCCAGAGGAATCTTCAGACCAGAAGAAGGGGACACTCCTAACTCTGGGTGGTGGGCACCAAGAAGGATGAGAGATGTAGGGCCAGAAGGCCGTCTCCACAGCAGGGCCAGTTGGAGACAGGAATCTTACAAAGATAGGGTGGCGGCCAATCTGCACCCACGAAGGAATGTCCTATCGGACGGATCAGTAATTTAGACTCCGAGAAACCCAAACCTCAGGGCAGGAGCACAGCACTCAGACACATCCACCCTCAGCAGTAGCACGCGCCCTACAGGGACTGAGGCCCAAGGGGAACCACTGGGAGCATTAGCCTCAGGAATCACACTGAGGCCAGGGAGCCCAGGCAGGGGCAGTCCCGCTAAGGGACTCACTCCAGGGGACTATACCAAGAAGTGCAGTCTCTGAGACCCAGAGCATGCTTCCACTTTGCTGGCACAGGGGAGGGTGCCCAGAGCATCCCTAAAATGTAAAGGCAGAAACAGCCGGTCTCCACCCAGGCAAGAATGCCATCCAGTAGAACTCCGCACGACGGAGACGTGCTGTAGCAACGCTGTCCACTGCCACGGGACGTGTGGCCAGACACGAGGAGCTATCTTCCCTCTGCTTTGACTAGTTACCCCATGTGGCCAGCAGCCACCCTAAGGGACAGTGTATCTGACAGCAAGCATTAACAAGAGGCCCACTGAGGCCAGAGCTGGTACCATCACCCAGGGAGCTTTTACCCATCCAGGTCTGAGGGCCCACTGAGGGCAGGGCAGGTGGAGTGGTTAGGACTGCAGGAAGCTTGAGTCTCCAAATGAAATGCGGTACCCTCAGGCCAGGGTCGGCAGGCAAGCCATACAGGAAGGAAGGGCACGCAGACAGAGGGCACCGGAGAGGGTGCCACAAGGAGCCTTGCTGCGCTGAGGCATGCGCTGATCCAGGAGTTGGGTGGGTTGGACACCCGCAGCTGTGCAGGGATCTTGACACCAAGTGCACCTTGGCTCCAAGGCCCCAACAGGAAAGACCTCTAACTGCTGGTGGTGAGGTGAGGGGCTATTCACTCACTGAGCGTCTTGGGCAGATCCCAGGCCACCTGCTCCACCTCCGCCGGGCTACCCTGAGGCCCCTAGCAAGCCCTGAGCTCTCCAGGACAGAGCTCCTCAGCTCTATGATGGAAGGCCGCAGGGAGCAGATAGCCGTGCGAGCCCGGCCGACACGGGCAGGTTCCAGGTTCACGCCAGAGACACTGAGAA